ACAACAGACACCCTGTGAGGTAGGTGGCGCTGAGAGAGCTCTTGACAGAAACTGCTCTTTTTCAAGAAGAGCTCTTATCAGAACTACGGCTTGCCCAAGGTCATCCAGCCAGGTGCAAGTGGAGGAGTGGGGAATCAAACCTGGTTCTCCCAGATTAGAGTCCGCGCACTTAACCACTACACCAAACTTGCCCAGGCTGTGCCTGTCGAAGTAAGCTGTCCCCTGGTCCTGCCAGTGTGGCTCTGTTTGTGTGTGTGTGTGTGAGAGTGTGAGACCCAGTTTAGCTTTGGGGTTGCCAACCTCCTGGCGGAGCCCGGAGAGCTCCCAGAACTATAGCTGATGTCCAGACTACGGATACCAGTTCCCTTGAAGAAAATGGTTGCTGGGGGACGACGACTGTGTGTGATTTCCCCAAACCCCGCCCTTTCCAGGTGCTACCAGTTTGGTGTCATGGTCAAGTGTGCGGACTCTAATCTGGGAGAACCTGGTTTGATTCCCCACTCCTCCACTTGCACCTGCCGGATGACCTTGGGCAAGCCGTAGTTCTGGCAAGAGCTGTTCTTGAAAAAAAGAGCAGCTTCTGTGAGAGCTCTCTCAGCCCCACCTACCTCACATTCCACTTTTTCAAATACATTGGAATGGAAGGTAAGGTTCAAACTTCTAGACAGAGGCTGAACAGCAAATTAACATGTAACGTGATGAAGATCTGCAAAGACAAACTAAATAGCAAACTAAGGTTATAAGGTCAACAGGCTGAGGTTATAAGGACAGGTGTGCATGCACGGGGAAGCTCATACCTAGGATAAAACTCTGTTGGTCTTAAAGGTGCCCCACTGGACTCCCAATTTGTTCTACTGCTTCAGACCAACACGGCTGCCCACCTAAATCCATTAAATGTTGACACGTCTCTCTCTTTTTCTTGCAGCCCATCCAATGGTGGAAAATAGAAGCCAGACTCCACATTAATGATGCCTGGAAGTGAGTATGGCAGCACTCTAATGGCCGTAGAAGGAGCTTGCGCTATGTTGAATTTTTTATTATTATATCTGGTAAAAAGCCTTCCGCAACGCATACTGCGCATAAAAACTCTTTATCCACGTGTGACCGGCATGCTTATTTTCATTCCAAAATGTCTTAATTTGACTTGATGTCAGTGGCGAAGACTTCCAGCAAGCACGAAACGATTAGCTGGTGATAGACGTGAGCTTTTGAAACGTGATTCTTTGCCTCTCCGAAGCCGGCTTATGCTCTCAGTCGTTTGAAAAAGCAGAGTGAACATGATGCTTAGCATTAACAATATGGCTAATCCTCTTTCAAATCCAGAACCTCAGCAAGAGAGGTCAGTATGCTGAGGTCCTTGTTTAAACAAAAATCCTGAAGAAGAAAATGAATGAATTCGTGGTGCTATTCCAGAGTATGTGCAGTAATTAAACCTACATCAAGATGGGCCAGTGGTTGTGGTGTGGGCTGGCTGAGGAACTTCTGCAGAAGTAATCAAGACCAGTAGTTTGACTCTTGAGTTCTTTAGTCCTGATTTTAGCAGTTAACATCTTTACAGTTAAAAAAAATCAGTGTATATATTACTTCTATTACCCAAAGAGTAATTAACACATGAAATTCACTGCTGCCACAGAAAGTGGTGGTAGCGGCTACAAGCATAGACAGCTTCAAGAGGGAACTGGGTAAACATATGGAGCAGAGGTCCATCTGTGGCTATTAGCCCCAAGGTGTACAGGGAACACTGTGTCTGGGGCAGTGGTGCTCTGTATTCTTGGTGCTTAGAGGACCACAGTGGGAGGGCTTCTGGAGTTCTGGCCCTGCGGTTGGATCTCCTGATGGCACCTGGTATCTTTGGCCACTGTGAGACACAGAGTGTTGGACTGGATGGGCCATTGGCCTGATCCAACATGGCTTCTCTTATGTTCTTATGTCTGGGACAGTGATGCCCTGTGTTCTTCAGGCTGGGGGGGGCACAGTGGGAGGGCTTCTGGAGTTCTGGCCCTGCGGTTGGATCTCCTGATGGCACCTGGGTTTTGGCCACTGTGTGACAGATAGAGTGTTGGACTGGATGGGCCATTCGCCTGATCTAACATGGCTTCTCCTATGTTCTCTGAGCTAAACACAAATGTATTTTTTTGCTTATTTTTTTTAATGCCAGAGATTTTGTGTGGCCGTCCCCCCCCCACGTTCACTGAATAAAGCCTTTCCTTTGTGTAAGAACTTTGTTGAGTTTTGCCCTAGAGTTATTCAGCAGCATTGACCTAGAACATAAAAAATTGCCACTTCTTAAGAAAGAAAGAAAGATTTCATGCAAGTGGCGTCCTTTTGTTCTGTCTCTCCTTTGTGCCATGTACCAACTTAGGAAGTGGAGTGCTGATGCTCAAGGTCCTTTGTCTGTGTGACACCTCTCTGTCATTTCAAAATTCTGCAAATGGAATGGTGTTCACCTTTCGTGTTTTGCACAAAATGTTTCCCTCCCCTGCATTCAAGCGCTGTTGTCTTTCTTGCTGAGTGCCTCTATTGCGTCTTGCCTGTCCTTGAGTACGGACTAAAGACAGAGATCTCTTTTCTAAGTGTGTTTTCTTGAAGTGTGAGAGAAGGCATTCCATGCTTTTGAGGGCAGAAATTAGCCACCATCGCTCCTTCTTGGGAGTGGGCGGGTGTGTGTGTGTGTATGTGTGTTACAAACTCCTGTTCCCTTCCCCTCCCCACAACATACACCCTGTGAGGTGGGTGGGGCTGAGAGAGCTCTTTTCGAAAACTGCTCATGAGAGAACAGCTCCAAGAGAAGTTGTGACTGACCCAAGGTCATGCCAGCCGCTGCATGTGGAGGAGTGGGGACTCAAACCCGGTTCTCCCAGATTAGAGTCCGCACACTTAACCACTACACCAAACTCCAGTGGGACCAGGTGATCTCCTGGAATTACAACTATTTCCATATTACAGAGTTCCCCTGGAGAGAATGGCTGCTTTGGAGCACTTTCATGCTGAGGTTGCTCCCAACCAGTGTTCCCTCTAAGCTGAGTTAGTGTGAGCTAGCTCAGAGTTTTTTAGCCTCCGGCTCACACATTTTTGTCTCAGCTCAGGAAGGGGGGGGGGCAGAGCAAACCAAGGGATGCAGCAGCCCAATCACCTGCTCACAACTTTAAGGCCCATAGCTCACAAAGTAGAATTTTTGCTCACAAGACTCCACAGCTTAGAGGGAACATTGCTTCCCAACCCCAATCTCCCCAGGTGCCGCCCCCAAATCAGAGAGGGCAGCTCTAGCCTGAAGCAAGATCTCCTGCCTCTCTCAGGCCCTCTGCGGTGACCCTGGTGGCTCCAGGGAGTGGAGCGTCCCCCCTCCCTGTGAGTGGAGGCAGCTTTCTGGTGTCTCCCAAGAAAGGTCCTTCTTAACACCTGGTACCTGAGGTCCTTAAACTGGGAATGTTGGGGACAAAACCCCGGGGCCTTCTGCATTCTAAGCAGGAATCCTCGTGCTGAGCCGTGGCCCCTGAAAATGGCACGCCAAACCCTCTTGCAAATGAACATGCGGGATTAACCCACCGGCAAGTTCTCTTGCACAGTGAACAGGAGCCGTGCGAGAGTACAGGGATGCCTCTGTTTTGTCATGGATATGGCTGGAATATCGGGAAACAGTTGCTGGACTTGACCAAAAAGATTATGGAGGATATGTTGTCGAAGGCTTTCACGGCCAGAGTTCATTAGCTGTTGTAGATTTTCTGGGCTGTATGGCCGTGGTCTTGGCATTGTGGTGCCTGATGTTTTGCCAGCAGCTGTGATTGGCATCCTCAGAGGTATAACACAGAAAGGTGGAGTACTCTCTCTGTAAAGGTGAGAAGAAAAATGGTAGGCAGGTAATTTATATCTACTCAGAAAGGTGGGGTAGGGCTGAGTCATTATCTTGTAGGAGTTCCCCAAGCAGTGACATGCTAATAGAGGAGTTTTCCTGAGGAGGTTCTTTTGCATATGGATTGGCTGTTGAAATTCTAACCTTATCTGTAGTGCTGTTGTAAGATGTGGAGCATTTTGTGTTTTTCAGGATAGGAAAACTTGCCCTGTTTATTTTTAAACTCTCTTCTTTCCTGTTGAAATTGTGTCT